CGTGTGTTGTTGACCAGAGATGTAGTTCATTGAGCGTTTCACACAAACAAATGTGTTACGACACATTTTTTTTTTTTTGACTTGCAAAATTATCTTTTAAATTGACAAACATCATATGTGTAATTCGTGGCACAATTCAAACGGGATCGAAAGATAATCTTTCTCTCTCCATTGACTTCAATACATAATTTTTCCGAAATAAGGTCCCATGGAGGTCCACCGGAAGGGGAGGGACTTCGCCACTCTATAGAGCCCCTCCTCCAACACACACGAACGCGCACATGACCAATGAGGGCACGAGATAAGTTTGTGCACAGATGGAAGGCTGACAGGCAGGTAGGCCATCCAGTTATTTTAGCCGGGCCGGCTAAAATGATTGGTCGTACTTTTTACAGTATTACGGCTTCCACAGATGACATTTTTGTATGGATTTTTTGTCAAAGCACTTAAGATATTCATTGCTATCGGGATGTTAAGAGCATTCCATGGAATATAACAAAAAGTGTATCTCGAGCCGGTTTCTCAAAACGTGCCTACCCTACCTTTTACTTTACAGAAAAAGCTAGGCAATTAAGTGAAATTACTTTTAAAACATCCTGTTTAGTAAAACGAGCACAATTCTTTTACAAAGTACCTCCTAAATCCAAAAACCGTGAGGACATGGTTTCAAGGATGACACATTTCCTCAGGAAAAATTATAAGTTGACAGTCCATTGAACCTTCTGGTTTTTGTCTTCATACTATACAAAATACATAATTGGCTTCCAGCTAAATTGAACGATTGGTGACCTAGTCAAATTCCTCGTAGCCTACGTGTGAACCTACCTGGTAAACCCGTTTCTGATTCTGATAGTCAAAATAATCCTCATCCTTTTAAGAAATGTACTCATTCTTATGAAAGCAGGACTTCCTCTCAGTATGTTATTAACCCTTTGGATAAACCCGTTTAGTGTGCAATGCATGTTGATCTAGTCATCGAAAATCAGCCCTAATTTTTAAGCTTTTATTTTGAATTGAAATTGCAGTCAGTCCCGGTGTCGTGCTGTTTAACTCCGACTGGTTTGACGCAGCTCTCCTCAGCCCAGGCTGCTCTCACTCCTCTCAGTCCTTTAAGTGACTCGGCACTCCCTCTAGAGGAGAAGCCGTGTCTGCAGCGAGTCGACCAACAGCTGAGAGCTCCAACATGACAGCCAGAAGTCACAAATACATGTATTATAATAATAATAATAATAATAATAATAATAATAATAATAATAATAATAATAATAATAATAATAATAATAATAATAATAATAATAATAATAAATTATGAATATATTATTATATTATATTAGTAAAATACAAAGTTAATACATACATATAAATAACATATATTATTATTTGTTTTATTTATGTAGCACTTTCTTGTTTAGCTGGAAGTGCTTTCCAGATTCAAATATTTACAACATTAAAAAATGTAAATGATACAAATCTGAAACCCACATAAGCCCTGCCCCCTGTACAACGTACAACTTTTGGTAAAAGAGATAAAAAAAAAATATTAATAATGTGGAATTTAAGAGAATACCTGGTTATAGATAAACAGATAAGGATATAAAATCATAAAATGGCTATATTTACTAAAAGGTGCACTTAATGTTTTTAAACTAACACAAATAAACTCGAAAGCAAAACTTGCAAAAATAGATAGTATTGTAATCAGTTAACTATTGGGTTGAGAAATATCACAAATGTGTGAATTTGAGAGGGGCATGGTGAGACAGCCTCCACTGACGGCTCTGGGCTGGACCATTGACGGGTCTGAAAAACAGGTGCAACAGGTGGGGCAATTCTAGAAGATGGCACAAAGGTAACCACTAGTCTAAATCACTCCCCACATCTTCAATTTGTTAAGCAATTCAGAAAAAGAAGAAATCAGCTAACATGTATAATGCGAGACTGAATTAACAAAACAGCAATTCGGTCTGATTACATAGGAGAGAACCTTTCTGCCACTAAAGGGATAGTTCAGATGTTTTGATGTGGGTTGTATGAGGTTCTCCTATAGATAACAGAGAGAAGTACCAGCATGGCAGTAATGCTGAGACTCTAGTTAGTTCACTACATGTATAGACTCACAATCTGCTGGTTTCACATGGTGGTAGCTAGATGACCTTAACTATGTTCTACACCAGTTGTATCTGGTTGTGCCTTGTAGAGTAATACTGCCTGAGTCTAATAACTCAACACAGGTGTAGTTAAATGCTTTGTCCAACTGGACAGGCAAGATCAGGCAAACTACTCATAAAACTGCCAGCAGAAGGAACATCAGCAACAGGTATGCTTGAAAGAGAAAGACAAATGTTGTACATGCTTTGGCAGCGAAGTGTCAAAAACAACCTGGATGTAAATGCAAATGCAAATGGGTATGAAGGTAAACTCAGTGACGATAAGTGGTGGACGAAATATTCAGATTCTTTATTTAGGAAAAATAGTAATACTAATACCACACTGTAAAAATACTCAATGTCAATTAAAAGTACTGCATCAAGGATAGCACTTAAAGGTAGGGTAGGTAAGTTTGAGAAACCGGCTCGAGATACACTTTTTGTTATATTCCATGGAATGCTCTTAACATCCCGATAGCAATGAATATCTTAAGTGCTTTGACAAAAAATCCATAAAAAAATGTCATCTGTGGAAGCCGTAATACTGTAAAAACTAAAAGCACGACCAATCATTTTAGCCGGCCCGGCTAAAATAACTGGATGGCCTACCTGCCTGTCAGCCTTCCATCTGTGCACAAACTTATCTCGTGCCCTCATTGGTCATGTGCGCGTTCGTGTGTGTTGGAGGAGGGGCTCTATGATGAAGTGGCAGATTTTCTCCGGTTGTGTATTTTCAAATTCTAGCGATCTCGAGCCGGTTTCTCAAACTTACCTACCCTACCTTTAAGATTTAAGAAGTTGGAACTTAAATACTTTTGAAGTAAAGACTGTGTTCAGCCTAGCTAACATATACGGAAAGCCAGCTAGCATTGTCAAAACTACAACAAAAAGCAACAACAATTCTAGTTGACGTTTATTTTCTAGGTTTAGAAATTAAAACCAGATATGTAGTTTAAAGAGCCGTTACTTAGCTTACACGGTATCATTTGGGGTTGTGTTTCCTAGCTAACAGACAAATAAATAACACAATTTTAAAGTTGTTTTTTCCACTTGATATACAGCCTAACTTACAGTCTGCTGTTATAATGGGCTCAAGATTAATCAATACATTTTGGTCGCTAAAGGCAACAAGTTAATGGTCATATTATAGCCTTAAAAGTTGTTATGCTAACATGTTAGCTCAATTGTTACTTACGTCCATGTAGCTTCATTTCCACGCTGTTTCTGGGCACCTGGTGAATGTTGTTATGGCCAATTGTCATATTATTTAAGCTATTTTGTTGCTGTCCTTCTGTAAAAATAAGACTCAATGCAGGATAAACAAGTTTCTAAAAAGCTCTTACAGGTGTTTGTATGTTGACTGACAGTGAAGCAGTGTGCAGCTTGATTGACAGCTCCCTCACTCTGCTGTCACCATGGCTGTCACTTTAGTTGCACCTGCTACCAGAGGTGGATGAAGTACTCAGATTGTATTGAAATTATTCATTTGCCCAGTTCACTGGTTAAATTGGGGGTCTATTTGAATTGCTTTATATACGACTGGGTAGCTTAACCTATAATAATATATTACAATGTCGATTAACATTTTGTATTAATAACCTACATCTGAGTAACCAGAAAAATAAATATGTAAAATAAAGTAGTGGAGTATCAAGTACAACAATTGCCTACAAAATGTAGTGGAGTAAAGGTATGAAGCAGCATAATGTAAAAATGTTTAGGTAAAGTACAAATACCTAAACATTTTTACTTGAGTAAATGTAATTAGTTCCATTACACCACTGCCTGTTAAAGACTAAACATCATCACCATTAGTTCAAAGCTCCTTCCTTTTCTCTACATTTCTCCTAAATAGCCAAGTTGATGTATGCAGCATTTGTAAGAATCAAGTAATATAATATACAAGTATACATTCTCTGAAATAGGCATAATTCTCAGTGTCGTAAAGTAACTAAGTACATTTACTCAAGTACTGTACTTATAATATATATTATTCTGAATGCACTAATTTGCATAATAAACATACTTTTACCTTTGGTACTTTAAGAATATTTTGATGCTAATACTCCTGTACTTTTACAATTACTTGAGTAACATTTTGAATGCAGGACTTTTACTTATAACAGAGTATTCCTACACTGTAGTACTGCTACGTTTACTTAAGTACAAGATCTGAGTACTTCCTCCATCTCTAATAATTATGCATATTGCTTTTAGGACTTTGATTATATTTTGATGCTTATACTTTAGTATTGTTACTCTTGGGTGCAGGCAGGACATGCATACTGTATTTCTACATTGTGCTATTACAAAAAAATACTACTATTACTTTAAGTAACAGATCCAAATACTACTTTCTCCACTGAAGTAGCATCATGAAAATACTCAAGTAAAGTATTATCAAAATTGTAGTTATACAGTACTTGAGTATCCCTGAATATTACACGCTTACTTTGATACAAGTAATTACCAGGATATTTAATCTACTGGTTACAAAAAAAAAATTGTATCTGTGTATCTGCTATCAAAAACATCTCCCTTATATTATGAATTCAGAGATCCATTCTTTGAAGATTCCACATACATTCTACTGTTGTTTATTGTATGACTCTTCCATATTACACACAAACGAGAGAGACCATAGTGTTTATATTGACTAACACACCTCTAAAAACAAAAAAAGATTATAATTGTACACCTGTATGCTCTTTTTTATTGTTATTTGTGCCCTGAAAGCCACCCTTGACACCCCCGGCAGAGCCTCACACTTAGTACGGACCTGAACGGTTACTCGCCTCGATGACGCTCCAGTAACGGTTTATTTTAGCTCCGGCATTTTTGCTGCTCGCTTAACATTTTTACCCCCGATGTAGCCTATAATAACACCCATTTTTGTTAGCTTTTTCTATCAGCTTTACTCGGATATTAATCGCCTTTTTTCCTGCCCAATTTTCCGCTCCTACATGCCGCTTCCCCCGCTCTCTTTACTGCATTTTCAATGTATTTTGTGCCCCTTGTTTCCTCCAGTAACGTTAACCCATGTCTGTGTGCATCCCGCCTCCCTGCGCTCTCAATAGATGGTGCAAGTCAAAATGTCCAAATCGCCCGTAGACCCTCTGTCTGCTGTGGAAACAGGCTCTCAATCGCACTATTTTCAGGTAAATAACCACACTTTTTATAATCCTGTATTGAAGCATCTAACGAGTTAAGTGAGAGAGAAAATGGTTAGCTCTAATGTGTTGCTACTTGTTGTTGAAATTGAGGCGTCGCGATTAGGCAGCGAGCTACTTTTATATATTTATTTAAAAATGTCACCTCCTCCGCCTTTACTAAATCTGCAGATTGATGTTTGATCTGTGAAAAGCCAGTGGGTGCGATCATTAAGACGGCTCACATATGGTACACACTCAAAGGATACGATCTCCCTAAATGTTCACGCTTGAGTCTGATTTTAATGGATTTTTATTTTGCATTCCCTTAGAATACAGAAGGAAAACAAGCACATATCAGTAATATTTGCTTGAATGTATTAGCTAAAGGACCAGGCAGACCATGCATGTTTCTGACTCACCTGTAGCCTGAATCTACAGGGCCTGCTGTCAGCATGCTCACTGCAACATCCACGCTTTCTTATTATGTGTTACAAGAGGCCTGGGGAAAATATGAGACAGAACAGTATGTGCAGCTGGATAATTCAGCCCTGAAAAATATGTGATATTGACAAAGCTACAGCCTATTATAGACACTGCTGTGGTACAAAGCAGTTCTTTTGCACCAGTTTTCTCTTAATTTAGACCTTTATGTAACACGAAAAAGCTTCACAAATCAGCATAGTGCAAGCTGAAAGGTTTGATGCTATCTGTCTATGCATCTATATTTATTCCTTCACCTGTGTGTGTCTCTCTTTCATCACAGCTGCCCAGGAAGTTGCCTAAACGCAAGAGCCGCTTCAAACGCTCAGATGGCAGCACGTCTTCTGACACAACATCCAGCTTCATCAAACGACAGGTAAAAAACAACAACTCCCCGAGCCATTTGTTTGCTTCCTTTTTCCTTGTTCATGCATGCATTTTAGACAACATCATTCCCGGGTACATCACAGTCACAGGCCGATTATCACACTGATTGTCAGTGGGAGGGAAGAGCGGCAGCTTCTATGGAAAATGTAGGCCATGTTGTTTTTTCCACTGAACAGGTGTCTCTGCATTGTTTTGTTGGTATTGCTGTCACGCCAGTATTTCCAAGGTTTAAGCTATCAAAGGGGAATCGAGTTCCTTTTTTGGACTCTCGGTAGCTACAAAAAGAGATTTGTAGCTCTGCATTTACCATCCTTGAACCAAATACATAAATGTTTCTGTTCTGCATCTTCATCCTTAGAGCAGCCTCCTCAGCTTCAGTTGTTGTTTTGCCCAGTAGAGAGCAGCAAAATACTTGAAAGCATCTCACTCCGGCTGTGAGTTACATATCAAAATCCCATCACAGCCAAGTCTTTTTAATTAATGTTTTGAGGTCAAGCACATGTGGCACACTCAGGCAGAGATTTTGTGTTATTTAATACAAAACTCTAACTGATTTCTGAGGCACTTGATGTTACTGCAGGGCTGCTGTAAATCATAACATCTCATGTATATCAGTTGATTTGATCAGGACAGTTTTAATTAACCTCCAAGTGATGCTTTATGAATAATGTATTTGATGTGGGTGTCAGAGCTGTACAGTAGTTCAGATGTTCCTGTACAATTCAGGCTGTGAGGAGTCAAGAGGTTGGCATGTGCATTCAGAGATCATCCCAAAAATGCAGCTATATGCCAGAGCAGTGGTGAACAAAGAAATCAGATCTTTTACTTAACTATAGTAATACTACAGAATGGATTGACGGCCCGTCCACACGGCGGCGTGCGTTGAAGCTTCAAAGCTTCTTCCCATTCACTTTGAATGGGGTGACGTCACGCTTTGCCGAACTGCATTGTGGTTCCGTCGCTTCGCTTTGCTCGCGTTGCTCGCTTCAAAAGTTGAGAAAAGTTCAACTTTTGAAGCTTCGACGGAAGCGTCAGCCAATCAAATCATATGCCAGTACAAGCTCTAGCCAATCAAACCGCGTGCTTGTGTGTCCGGGGCGGGAGATTCATGTGATTGGTTGTTGGTCGAGTTTCAGACACGCCCGCTGGCAAGCTTCAACACACGCTGCCGTGTGGACGCTGCGTCACAGGTAAAAGTCCTGCATTCAAAATGTAATTAATGTTAAAGTAAAACAAAGTTTAAGTATGAAAACATACTATTGAAAGTACTCAATTTGCAGTTCATCATTTAAATGTTGCCACTGATAAAGGAGTTTTTTTTGTTTTTTTTTAACTATACATTATTTTCTGCCTGTGCATTTCCCCAAGGGATCCAAAAAGATTATCTTAACCTAATATAATACATGTTAAATTATTTGTTGATTATATTTTGTATTACCAATATGAATCTTTATATAACTAAAGTTAATCAAAACATGTAGTGAAGTAAATAGTGCAATATTTGCCTCAAATGTGTACATAAGTACAGTACTTGAGTTAATATACTGATATAATAATAGGAAGTTAGGAAGGATTCAAATATCCTTCCTCAAAAGGAGACTGATGTACCAATGATAGAAACTTCAAGACTAATTCTGTAGGCTTTAACCCAGTCTTAAGTATCAGTTTAGTCCTGATTAACTAATCTAGAGCTGAAATAATTAGAGTACATAGAAATATAATCGCATAAATGGCATTGTTAACAAAAACATTGACCGTATACACGAGTATTTGAGTTCAGGACTGTTGCTTTTACAAAATAATTAATTAAACAATGTCAACCTGTTAGTGAAGAATTGCGATGGATGTCTTCCAATGTTTTCTAACTTTTTTTTTAAACTAAACCCTTTATCGTCATTTAATTACATGAACGAAGTTATTTCCAGCATATTTATCAATAACGATAATGACTTGGTCCTTATTATCATCTGTTGTTCTCTTATTGGATATGTCAACTCATATACAAAATAAAGTAAAGCATCTCTAGTGAATTCAAGCAAAAGGGAAATAACATGTTGCCAGTTCCAACTTAAATTCTTTGTTATTTTAATCGATTAAGCTTTTTCTTTTAAGCCATGGTTATTCCAGTTAGATACGTAGTCAATGAAGTATTGTGTAGTGAATATAAAGCAGCCATCACAACTTTCCAAAGTGATTTGGATTTATGTGACCAACTCAAAATAATATATCATTTTCTATCAAAGAAGCAGCAAATGTTCATCACATGGAGCTAGAAGAAGCACATATTTGGCATTCTTACTTGAAAAGAGTACGACAGGTAGTGTAAACATGACAATGCAGCACCCCGTGTCAAACATCGAGACAAAATAAAAACTAACGATAAAGGAAAATTGCAGTATGAGAGTATAACAATTGTAGCCATTTTAAGGATAGTTAATTAATTTTGATGATAATAAATTACCAAAACAATGGATTTATTATCCATCATATGTCAATTAATATCCTTTATTTGACTGTTCCTTGCAGCTATAACTAAAAAGTAGCTGAAAAGGAAGTAGTTTGAAGACTTAATTAAATAAAAAATTCCACCCTGAAATTCACCCGTCTTTCTCACCAGAACGATTCATGGCAAACGTAATGAAAAAAGATTCATGCACAGCACCATTAGCATGAGGGAATGTGCAGCAGTCTAACTGGGAGACGTTAGTGAGAAAAAGGAAAGAAAAAGGGCTGAGCAGACATCTTCTGCAGGCGGGGGCATTAGTTATCCTGATCGGGGGGCTTAATGACAATCTCCAGATTCCCTGAGAATATTGCACAGCTTAAAATATTCATGATGCTCATTTTGAAGGCCTCAGGCGATGTGATGTGTGGGTTCATTGTTCACACGAGCACCTTTTAGTTTCTTTTCAATCATTATACCTTCTCTCTCTGCACGCACAACAGGCACCCCCCCACCCCTCCCCCAACCAACACCACCAAACCCAAAGGTGATGTGATAAAGTGTTTCATGCAGAGCGAGTAGATTTCCTAAACAAGGCAGATAGTTTCTTGTCTGTGATAGGGGTGGGGTGTCTATGGAGGAGCAGTGGAGTATGACTCATTTCTGCAGCAGGATACAATAAGCAGTATGCTGCCATAAGTGTGGATATATATGTGTTACATATGTAGGACATGAGGGGTTTGAGACAGAAGGAGAGATTTTGAGCTGCAGCCTCTCCGTTTCCCCTCTTCCTCTGCGTGTTGAAGTGGACTTTAATAACCAAGAATGGGGATGTAAATTTGGAGACGTGGTTCGATCGAGTGACGCAAAAAGCTGCGTTGGTTCTTCACGTTGTTGTGCGTGTGTGTGTGCGTGTGTTTGGATGGGACGAGGTGGGGTAAGAATAGAAAAGAAGGTGTTGCCGGCTCCAGTGCAGGTCGTCCCTGGTTAGGGGACGGGACACAGGACAGTCTGCATTTTACAGCATGTAGTGTGTAGAGAGAGAGGGAGGGACCGGCAGCAGCAGCACATTAACTGAGTAAGTACAAATGACTCTCGACACACTCTTCTTCTCCTCATCTCCTTCTTCATCTCTTTGTAGCCTTTACATTGTTGCTGCTCCTCTCTTTCTGTGTTCCTTTGTCTTCCTTCTTCGCCTCCCCTTCTTCAGCAATGCTTTGTTTCTCTCATTTTCTTCCCCTGCTCTACTTTTTGATTGCCATCATCCCCGTGTTTGCGCTCTTCACAGTTCCTTGTGATTGATCAATTTGACATACAGTATGCCTGATGTTGACTTTGATATTGATGTAACCACTGAGTGATTTATTGCGTTGTGTGTCAGAGAGCTCTGTGCATGTGTAACTTGCTGACATTGAAGTACGACCGCACAGTTAATCGAACACTTTCTGAAATTGGATATTTGGCTACTGGATTTCCAAATCACTGGAGCTTGCAGTTTTTCGTGGTGTTTCAGACTCCTGAATATTATATTCTGCTGTTGTGCAGATTCTCTTTCCTGCCCAAAAAGCCTGAGGAATTTGATTTTAGTAATAGCATGCACTTCCTGCCTATTGTTTTTGTATTTAAATAACATACTGCGTTGGGCATTTTAAATACATTTATTTAAAATCATATATTTTCAACATTTCATCTTTAAGGCTTGTTCCTTCTGGTGATGCTAGCGTTGTGGATCTAGGGATGACAAAATAGATCTGTGTGTCAGTCCATCCCTTGGTTCAGGCTGAAATATCTCAACAACTATTTGATGGATTGCCATTAAAGTTTGTCTAGACATCATGACTCCTAGAGGTTGAATTGTAGTATTTTTGGTGGTATAGTAACTGTTTATTGAGTGCCATAATCTGTAGGTCAACATTTCTATAATTATCTAACCAAATGTGCAAAAAACCACACATTCCCATCTTCAACTATGAAGATTAACATGAACATCAGAATGTTAGCATTGCCAGCGGGAGTAAGTCAGCATAAATTCATTTAGAGAGTGACTTTTGGAAGAAGCTTATCTTGAAGTCGGAGTATTGAAAGTAAAAAAGTAAAACATGAATTTCCATGAAACGCATATAGCCTTTCTGAGGTTTTCCAGTGACATCAAACCAAAGTCAGCAACCAAAACCTGTCAGTATCAGCTGGTTTTGGTTCAGTAAGCCTTCCTTTGAGCACTATGTGACTATAACAATTGGAGGTACTTGCATACATAACAGTATGAGTTTAAATCATTAACAAGCAGGGATTAAACATTATTGATATAAACTTATAAGTAACTTCAAAGAACTTAAAAAAAACATGTTCACTATGGATTAAATTACTATGTGTTATGAAAAGGAAGTCACTCTATGATGAACCTACAGAGAATTATCAACTGAGTCTACAGCGTTAAAACCAATTTTAGCTCAATGTTTGGTCTCCTCCGCCTCATAAGGGTTCACTCAGATCTCAACATGGAAAAAAACACTACAACATGCAGTATCTAATAAAACAACATCCAAAAAGCCCTGATAAACCAACTGAACACTACCTACTCCAAACAGCAGACAGACAAAGTTAGCAACTACTGTACTTGGTGAACATAGTGCAGCACTAGGCAACTTTAAAACCAGATACTTAGTTCAGGAATTGGTGGAGACCAAATATACTTGACATACTTTATTAAGGATAGTTAGTTAACCTACTATTCCTTCATACTATGCAAATAGAAATTGAAAGCAAAGTGTTAATCTGATGTACTGATGTATCAGTATTATAATGTTTCAAATGACTGTAGAAGTCCCCTGCTGCTCTGTCCCTAGCTTGTAGGATGACTTGGCCCTCTCGGGGACTCGACTATCTGGATGACACACTTCCTTGTCGGCCCCTCCCTGTGGAGCTGAGGCCATCAGTGTTGCAGTGTGAAGAATAATCACAGAAGCAGAATAGGAAGGAACAGAGTTAAATTTAGCCTCCAGACGGGGACATTAGCAGTAAATTAAAAAAAAAACAGAAGAAACAAGACATCCTCTAGACCAGACGATAAAAGATGCACTCACATCATTACACTCTGCATTGCAGCTCAGTTTCACCTGCAAAAACACACAGTTTCTGTTCACTCACATTGGCTGCTTTGTTTGAGGGTTTGACAGGTAGCCTGTGTGCAGCAGAGGTCCACAGCCTCATGTCCAAACATTAATAATGAACAGCAATCACAGCCCAGGCAGCTCTGTGTGCTCCAACATCATTAAACAGCTCTCTGACATAACGCCTTTCCCTTGCGCCCACCACCATATTTATTCCACTTTAATGTCTGTGTGTGTTTGAGCGAGTGAAGGCAGGGACGCTGTTACAGTGAGAAAGATTCAGAGCCAGGTATGAAACTCTCTGTGACCGCCACTATCTGTGTGTCTCTGTCTTCTCATGGTCTTTTTTCTGCCTCCCCCCCCCCCCCCCCCTGCTGTTTCCCCTCTTTTCTTCTATATGTGATGAGGATAGATATCTAGGTCTCACTCCACTCCTTCATAGCATTTTATTATGTTCTAATCTCATCTTCCCCTCGAGATAGCCTTGCTTTATCGTGTCGTATAAATCGTTTATACACTCTCTCGTTTCTACAACCATCCTTCAGTCACTCTCCGTCCTCGTAAACATTCTTCTCTTCAACCCCCCCCTCCTCCCCATCTCTCTTTCTATCCCGTTCTTCCTCCTCACCCTCCGTTTCTCTCTCTCGGTGCTGCTCTGGCACTGGTGCAGTGTTGCTTTGCAGAGCTTGTGAGTGCTAGAAATCAGATCTAGTTATCTAACATAGACACACAACCTAAAAGATAAACAAGGAGAGGTGTCCGCTCGCCGTTTCTCTGGGGCTTGAGGTGGTAAAACATTATTTTGGATTATATATATATATATATGCAGTCTGAAGTGCAGAAAGGTGGTGGTTGTTCTTCATGTCTTGGCACTTTTTTTTGTGCATTTTATGCCTGATTTTCCTTTTGTTGTGCTGCTGCTAATTGGTCCTCCAGAGGATTCGTTTGTATATGTTGGGCAAGATGGATGACCAGGACTAAGTCGCTGCACTCTGGAGCAGAAGAAACCCAGAGAGGAAACTGTGATGTGTGCTTTTTCTAGTTTATTTAAATCTTTGCAGGATTATGCTTGGATAGTCTCTACATATGTGAATGTTAGTGTGCATAATGGAGTAACCTGTGAGAGGTTTAACTTGGTCTGCCTCATTCATCACTTCTTTTATTCTTTTTGTGTTTTTCTTCGCTTCCTGTCTCTCCCCCCCCCCCACTCTTCCTCTCTCTCCCTTTTTCTCTCTGTTGCCCGACTTGGATTTGTTTTTGCTGCAGCGGTTCTCTTTACTGACAGATTCAGGACTGAGTTCCTTCAGAGAATCTAAATAGATGCCAAATATAGGAGAGCACACACAAACTGCATCACCTCTTCATATTCTTCGTTTTAATCTTAGGACCTAAACATCATGGTTACCATCTATTTTCTACATTAACCATTATTTGTTTTGGCTAAAAAAATATCTGTAACATTGAAGAAAACTGCCCATTATCATTTGTTGTAAGAGTCCATGGAGTTGTTTTCAAATGTCTTTTTTCAGTCAAAAACCCAAACATATTGAAGTTACTTTCATATAAACCTCACATTTTAAGGAATAATTGCAATGTCGTTTTTTGTCCATTTAAATGATTAGCAGAAGAAATGTAAATAAGTAATCGATTTAGCTCTACAGGTTATGACACAGACATTTAAGAAAATATGAACAGGAAACCGCTTTTCAGGTTTTGAATAAAAGCCAACAGCACTTTTCAAGCCATTTTTTACTTTGTGTAAAATGTGTCTTTGTGGGCTTTATCTGTCGCTTTCAGCTTAGTGTGCGAGCCATCACTGGGATTTGTCCTTAAACCTCTTACAATAAAAATGATAACCAGCATATATTTAGCTAATGAGGAGATGTCCTTGGAGAATAAACATGGGGAACAGAGGATGTATATATGTGCTGCACTGTGGGGGATGATGGAGTGGATTGGGGCCAAGCAGGAGAGAAGAGGAAGCAGTTGCCTCCTTTGTGCTATATTTGGTCTACCAGAGGATGGCTGGTGTGGGAGAGCAACGCATTGTGTTGTAGATACATGAATGTGTTCATGAATGCAGACACATATTTGCATGCACACCTGCACACGGACTGCAGAACAGAAAGACAGATGAAAGCGTGAACAGAAGCAGTAGATCTGTGCAAACTCATAGTAATATCCCTCTGTAATCTTCGCATTACTAGATGGTCTAAATAAAAAAAAATATTAATTACAGATGTCTCTCTCCTAACAGGGGTCGGCTGATTCGTACAACAGTAGACCGTCGGATTCAGACCTGTCAGCAGAGGAGGACCGCGAGGCGTATCGGCGTGAAGCCGAGCGCCAGGCACAGCTGCAGCTCGACAGAGCCAAGGTACCTTTATACACCGATATACACTGATACCAACTTCAGTATTTCAACTGTTTTATAAGCGGGGGGATGCATGTGGGTGCTCCAATGATCCAGAATAACTTTAATTTATACCCTGATGAACATAATATCATCCAAAAACACAAAGAAAACAAATTGATATAAAATGTGAAGGATCTGGACGTACAGTCAAATCCTTCTTACTGTTTATGTTCAACTCGACACTTGCATGTTCACAGAAGTAGAATTTAAGTCTATTCAAGACTAAGCACGGCGTCTCTGAATCATGTTATGTATCAACCTGTTACTGCTCTTAATGTTTACATCTGGTCGGGTGTTTGTAACTGTAACACACTCAAGGCTGATTAAAAACGGTGCCTTTTATGACAGGCTGTGTACTTTATTGGTCACCAAACTGTTGCTGTGAACTGACCACTACTATAACCTTACTTTGTGTAAATAATGATATCCATAAGATATACTTTAGCATTCATATGCTTTTAAATCCACAGCACATCTACAGCCAAACTGCTGTCTTCAGTGCTAACAAATTGTTCTGCAAGTCATTCAATTCTTGGCTATAAAATCTCAAGGCAAACCTCAAGTCTAGATCAACAGGTCCGAAGTCAAGTCTAGGTCCTAAACTTTCATTAGTCCTGAAAAAGTCCTCAGGAAATCAGGACATCAAGAAAAGACAAACTCTGCAGTTTACTTATTGATTGTAAAAGACAACAATGCGACTTCAAATCTTCAACGCAAAAAAAGTCGCTACACGTGTTACGTTATGTACACTAGTTGTGTAGCTTTGCCAAAAAAAAAATCAGGCTTACCTGAACTTAAACGTATTTTGTTCACATAAACACATTTTATTGAGTGTTGAGCCTCATAAAAAGAGTACATTCTTTGTCAATTGTCTTATGTGTGGTCATTGGCTGCTGTCAGAGTCAAATGTAATGTCACAAGATTCATGACTGGAGTCCAAACAGTGTCAAATGTTTGTGTCTACACCACTAACAAGTGATAATCTTATTGTTTGTACAGTCCAAACCTGTAGCGTTTGCAGTAAAGACGAATGTGAGTTACTGCGGGGCTCTGGACGAGGACTGTCCTGTCCAAGGAGCTGCAGTCAACTTCGATGCCAAAGACTTCCTGCACATCAAAGAAGTGAGTAAATAATATCTGTGGCTAGTGATGATGAGCTCCCCTACTACACTAAAAGATGATATGTGACGCGGTGCTGTTGTTCTTCTGAACTTTACAGAAGTATAACAATGACTGGTGGATCGGCCGGCTGGTGAAGGAGGGAGCAGACATCACCTTCATCCCCAGCCCTCTACGACTGGAGGCCATGAGACTCAAGCAGGAGCAGAAACAAAGGTAAGTTAACACTATCAAACCTCTCATGTGCCATTTCCTCAATATTAGTTGAATAATTTTGAGTGTTGCTGTTGCAGGAAAACAGGGGGTAACTCCTCTAGCTTGGTGACAGGGAACTGGAGGACAACACCGCCATCTGCAGGTGAATGTAAGTACCACAGGTCTTCTTATTTATGCTAGAACAAAAACAAGTTTCCCCTTTGCTGTCTTCTTCTTCCTTCATTTTACTTTCATTGATTGCTATTTTCTTGTTTTCACAAGCCAAACAGAAGCAAAAACAGGTAGGTTTTGTTTTTTCTATGATGAAACAGCATTTGTGAAGAATACATGTCTTTTATCGTTTATCTTCAAAGGACTTTACTAGGTTATCTGTAGGTCTTTGAGAGTCTAATAATAGTCATAAATTATATATTGTATGAACCAGCTAGCAGGAAAGGTTATACCTTTACGATTACTTTAACAAACTACATACCTTTTTTAACTGAAAGTGCTACAGAGGATTATTGTTTTTTGACATTATGTGTAGTCAGTTGTTTTTTTCAGTGGAACAAAAAGTCCTCGATTCCTCAACTCTGCAGAAAACCTGATGTTTATGCTTTTCACAAACGCAAACTCATCCCCCCTTTATCTTACCCCTGCTGTCTCTGTTCTTCATCCCCCTTCCCTCGTCATCCCCTATTTCTGGCAGGAACACGTCCCTCCCTACGATGTGGTGCCCTCTATGAGGCCGGTGGTCCTCGTGGGACCCTCGCTGAAGGGCTATGAGGTCAGTCTCTCTACGTTTCACCTCCAGCAGCTGCTTCACTCTGTCCTCTGTTCAAATGTTCCTGCACTGCTGCTTTTTGTTCAAATGAGAATTAAGGAATCTATAGTAAGGCTGGGATTTTCATTTCTGAAATCTGTTTAATATATTGTCCAATAATCTTTAAGAAGCCAACGGACATTTTGCTTGATGTTTTATTTTAGATGTAGTCATTTGTTTTTGTGGAGGTCAAATATGTGTTGACAGCAAATGTAGTCCAAAGAAGCAATATGTTCCTCAGTGCGTTCTGTATTGATCAAGAAAGCTGATTCCTCTTGTTTTTGGGGTAGTGCTGGCAGTGCCTCCATGTACCAAAACGTTTTTTTACAAAGTGATGTTGGCTCAAATCTACAGGCACCCTCAAGAGATTAAAACGAGATATTATGTCTTGTAAAATATGCAACTAGTTAGAAAAGGATCAATGTTTTCATATAAAGTAAAAATACTTTTACTTGAGGCCTCGTTTTGGCTACTCTAGACTTTAAAGGTCCCATGCCATGGCCATTTCTACTGATCATAATTCCATTGTTGAGGTATACTAAAATAAATGTATATTGTGCAATTTTCCAAACTCACATTGTTTTCTCATACAGCATCTCTGTATAGTATGTTTATTCACTCTCTGTCCTAAACGGCTTGTTGGAGCTCCTGCCCCCCCCCCCCCCTCCCTGTGAGCCCAGTGGCCGTCTGCGAGACAACGAAACACAGCGAAACCCAGCGAAACCCAGCACGAAACACACACACACCCGCAGCCTGGCTGGGAGTTTGTGTGTGTGCCCAGGCTGACTTCCGCGGTGTCTCGCTGTCTCGCCGACCCCACACCAGTGAGCCAGCTCAGTGTCCCGCTCCTCGCAGCAGCGAGCCTCGCAACGTCCCGCCGTGTGTGTGTGTGTGTGTGAGGAAGTCCGCGGATTGGTCCAAATGTAACGGCTCCGCGGACGTGACGTAACGTTACGTCACTATACCCGAAATACGTCACTATACCCAAGAAGTAAACAATGGAAAAAGAGAAATCCCAACGAGGCGTTTTGGGGCAGCATAGACAGGTCTTTTCTGTGTTAGAGTTTTACTCGCTACAGGGTGCACTTTGAGGGTTTTTGACCGTTTACATGCAGAAAAACCTTCATAACACACAAGGGGACGGGTAATAACCGGAAAAGCATTCTTGTGGAGATTTGTCTTTAGAAAATATATGTTTCTTACCTTTTATCTTCCCACCTAGGTAACAGATATGATGCAGAAAGCTCTCTTTGACTTCCTGAAACACAGATTTGATGGAAGGTCAGTATTATGAAGACATAACAGAATAGTCTCTGTAGATATGTTGGGTCAATAGTTAAAGCAAATCAAATGTAAAAGTCTCATAGCATATTTTTCCTCTTTATATTTGCGGCAGAATCTCAATCACACGTGTAACTGCCGACCTGTCTTTAGCCAAGAGATCTGTCCTCAACAAAAGACCCATCATGGAGAGATCCAACACTCGCTCCAGCCTAGGTGAGCGTAACATTGTCATTATGAAACCTTTTAGTATAAAGAAGCAACAAGTCGTAACTAGAATCTTTTGTATACGTGCAGCCGAGGTTCAGAGTGAGATCGAGAGGATATTTGAACTCGCCAAAACCCTGCAGCTGGTGATTCTGGACGCTGACACCATCAACCATCCCGCACAGCTCGCCAAAACCTCCCTCGCTCCCATCATTGTCTACGTCAAAGTTTCCTCACCAAAGGTACAGTAAGTTACTTCACTCATGAACTCAGACTGCCTCAACTTTCCCATTTTTGACATTTTATTGTCCCATTTCGTCTCTCAGGTGCTCCAGAGGCTAGTCAAATCCAGAGGGAAGTCTCAGAGCAAACACCTGAATGTGCAGATGATGGCTGCCGACAAACTCTCTCAGTGCCCTCCTGTGAGTGGAGGCTTCCTTTTCTAGTTCTTTATCTGATATCTCATTAACTGTTCGATGCAGACAAAAGACATTACTGGGGCCCAGAGGATAAAACCTGTTGACTTTGGTGTTCCCCTGACTTTGTCTTCAACCGGTTCACATTGTTCGTCTTTTTGAAATATATCAACAACTACTGGATGGACATTTGGTTCACATATTGGCATGGGGGTTAAGTGAAGCAGCAAGGGAAGGGCCCACATTTAGGTTTTATTGCAAACATGAAAGTATATGCGCTTACTGGCATGTGTAGACAAATCCAAATAGAAGCAGTATTGAGTCCATGGAAAAGTGCAGGCCGGTCTATGTAACAGAAAGTTAGAAAAACAATGATACACGTACCAGAGGGAATGAGCGGTAACGGCCGGTTAAATCGCACAGGGCTGATTAGGGAAGTGGAAACAGGTGATCAGGTGGGCGGAGGAGCTCAGTTGACTGGATGGAAAGAGGTTACTGCAGGTCAAATAAAGAGAGTTGGATAAGACTGAGGGCATCTGGTGGACAGGTAGAGAATAACAATGAACAGCTGGATATTTAAATGTGTTGAATATGTGACTTTTATTTGGTTAAAGATCATATATATGGAAAAGAAAACAATGACACCCATTAACTGTACTTTGTGTTGTGCTTATTTTCAAATGTTATCATGCTCACACCCCAAATTAAGACAGTGTACATCAGGGGTGTCAAACTCAAGGCCCGGGGGCCAAATCCGGCCCGCGACTTCATTTTATGTGGCCCGCAAGAGCTTGCAAAGAATATAATATGTTTATTATACGGTTACATGCCGGTTTACAGAAGCACATTGCCAATAAACAACATGTCCCACAATGCATCTCATTTTGTGACATGCGCACTGAAGAGACTTGCAATTATTTGCCCTAGACTTCTGCTTTCAGACGTAGTTAATTATGAAGTTATTACCCTATCCGATAATAATCCAATGCAGAGGCAATAATGTAATATAATACATTATTTTATATATTTATATCGTCTTAAAGTTACAACCGGCCCTTTGAGTGCAACCATAATGCTAATGTGGCCCGCGAGGAAATTGAGTTTGACACCCCTGGTGTACATGGTTAAAGTTATACTTGTGGAACATCAACATATTAGCATTATGAGCATTTTGACCATTTGACATGTGAAACATTAACGGAAAAAGTAAAATAACTGAAGAAAGGGTCACTTAATTCTTGGATTATAAAAAATTGATTAGCCTTCACAGTCACCATAGCTCTACCCAATTGTAATACTTTTTGAGTAGATAGACAAACATCAACCAATACACCTTATTTGAAGAGAACTATACCTATGGTTATAATCCTATTACTGAAAGAGGAGACTATACTTACCCAGAGGTGTAACGTAGTTTCTAGGTTTAAACTTCCAAGTCTTTTACATCTCAAATCATCAAAAGTATTTATTTAAAGTCCCTATAGCTCCTGGATTTTGGGCTTACTTGCATGCAGGTTATATTTTATATTTTGACCGACTTGAAGTGAAACAGTGCTCCTTTCAGCCTGCAAAATTAAGTCTTTTTTCCACTGAATACAAGATGATGTAATTGCTCTTTTTTGTTTTCGTTCACTTGAAGGATATGTTTGATGTCATTTTGGATGAGAACCAGCTGGAGGACGCATGTGAGCACTTGGCTGAGTACCTGGAGATTTACTGGCGTGCGACTCACCTCCCGGGCAACACGCCTCTCAACCCGCTGCTGGAGCAAACTCTGATGACCCCGCCTTCTGCCATCTCCAGCCTCCAGGTGAGTGTGTCTTTACCTGTGTAGAAAGCACTGTTTAAATACTGATGTAAGTCTAGAAATCCTGTTTTGAACACGTTGTTTGTTGTCACTGTCTCTACCAGCTCTCATCTCAGATTCTCACTCCTTCGTTTGGTTTTGATTGTCTCCAGTTGTCTTGTGTGTCCTCTCACTCATCCATGCTTAACATTTTTGCAGTTTTCTGAAACACAGGAATTAATTGAATGAACGCTTACAAAATGGGGTGAGTAGTAGGGTTTATATGTATATTTATTTATATTTGCACTCTCAACCCCAGCAATGCCCTTGTACACTACGCAGCGGCTGAAAAAGTGAATGAACAGCATTTTATTCATTCAGATCTCACCACAGAAAATAGGACGTGTTGTTTTTTTCTTCATTGCATCCCTTCCTTTACTCGATGGTCTCGGGTGAATCACTGCTCCACACGCTTTTCGGGAGAAAAATTCACAAAGCAGTGTCAATTTAAACCGTAACTGAGATTGTCACCTTTGTGAAATGATAAAACGTTTGAATGAAATGTAGAAATCTGAACGCTTATTCTCTATTTTTCATTCGCCGCTCGTCCTTTTCCCAGCATGCTTTGTGAATGGTGCCCCAACTCACTGTAACACATGGTGCTATATTGAATGACATTAAAGATTTATGCTTAAATAATGTATTCAACAGAACTAAATGCATCATTTACACAACAATAAACGGAGAGCATAACATCAGCACTGTTATGTTCTGGATTAACCTCCTGACCATCCATACAAACGTTTCACTGGCATTTTTGTTTTGGTTGTATTAATCTGTGCTCAAGCAGACAAAACACTGGAAACTAAAGAGGACTTTGAAGAGACTTTACCAAAACTGCTGCATGCCAAATATTAACATAGTCTGTTTTATTCTGTTACTTGCAGATTTTGTATTACATTCAGTACAGAACGTCATGTTTTCTTTTACATTTGAAGCTTCTATTGAGGTTATGGAATTAATTGATTTACATTTTGAAGCATCATTTTAACTTCAGCTGAACTTTAGGAAGGCTAGGCAGTTTTATCTGTAAAGCATGGTTTATACACAGAGGTAGGTTCAAGGTACTGTACAGAGCAGTTAGAACAACACAGTTTAAAACACTCAAATAAAAGATACATTAAAAAATAAAATTAAGAAATAAAGAAATATTTATAAATTAATACATAAAAAGTAAAATAATAAAATAATCATGAGGCCTTTGGGATTTGATAAGAAAACGTTTTTTAGACTGCGTTAAACAAACTAAGGCGTGTGTTTGCAGTCAGTGAGGACTAGAGGAACAATGCACCAAGCATTACATTTTTTAATATAAATATGCACTGTCATGTTGTTACAAGATAGATTTCCTTCAAAGTCCTTCAGGATGTAGTGTTTTATGTTATCGACCCTCTTCCCTCTGTTTGCTGTCTTCTGTTACCATAAAAAGTTTGAGTTGCTTAAAAATCCACCCTGTTCTCAGAGCTTCCTGTTGACTCTCTTTCTTTCTTTCCTTCCCCTCCATGACGGTATGATCCTCCAGAACAAGAACCAGCCGCAGCCTCGTGAGGCAGGGGGATTGGAGGGTGAGGAGGAGGCGGGTGAGGAGGCCCCCTCCCCCCTGGAGCAGGACAGTCTCATGCCGTCTGACGAGGCCAGCGACTCCCTGTCCCGCGGCCGGAGGGGGAGCCCGGGCCAAAGGGTGGCTGTGGAGGACGAAGAGGAGGAAGAAGAAGAGGAGGAGGAGGAGGAGGAGGAGGATGAGTTTGCCTCCCCCTGCCATGCTCGCACTTACAGGGACGTGTACCCCCCCCAACGCGGGCACAGCAGCAGCAGCGCCCACAGTGCCAACGGGCACGAGTCAGAGGACCGGCTGCTGCAGCGCGAGGCCCAGCAGGGCCACAACCAGAGGAACAACCGCCAGCGCAGCCGCCCCTGGCCCCGAGACACCTACTGAGGAACCCCCCCCCCGGCCTCCAGATCAGCCCTCCAACTGTCCCAAACACACAACTTAGAGATGAAAAAACCTGCCCCAAAATCGTCTCCAAATCAGAAACAGATGCCCCGTTTATAAAGTACACAACTTTAGGTTGATTTTTTAAGAATTGACAGTCACTCTCTTCCAGATTCCCAGATTTAATTATTTTTAGGGGTCGCACTGACCTCTTCAGGGTCAAGTCTTTCAGATTAAAGGGACAATTCCCCACCTTTTAAGTGGATGTCCAATCAGTTTTTATGGTTAATTTAATCAATTGAAAAAAGTAATCCCTCTGTGCATGCTTTATTGATCGAGGAAGCTGGTTCCTCCTGCCTACATTTACCAGGAGGCATTGTGTCTGCAGACGCAGGGTTTCCTCCAGCTCCTCCTAGGAGTGAGATGAAACTCTGTCAAATGTATCTTTGCCCTTGCCATCCTCTGGTTGTATAGACTGGTTAAATATTTTTTAGAGCAGCTTTAGAGCATGCAAGCCCCCCTGGCCACCAGGGGGGGATACTACTAATCTAAGATAAGGTTGCCTGTAGTTCTTCCTTGCATCAAAATACATCAGTCACCTTAAAATGACTGCTTGATGCAGGAAGAACAGATTTGTTCGCAGGAGAACTCAGTTTTCTATCAATATAGCATGCACTGAGGAATATATCGCTTCAATCGACTACATTTACCATCAAAACTGGTTGGATGTCCACAAAAGGTGGTCGGTTTCCCCTTAAAGTCAACAGGGCTACTCCCTCTGCAATGGAAAGGTTTCAGGCTACCAGCTGTACGCTAACTCAAACTTTAGCTGCTCCGCCTAAAGTTTCTCTATTGTAGGATGTCTCATATACTGGCCTTAAAATTCCTAAGACTTTTAACTATCTTTACTATTGCATGTTTTGAGTATAATTATTTTAAGACTATTTGCACATTGACGTCAGAACAGGAACTGAATGATCTTTACGGATAAACTAATGTAGGAATGTCTTCTTATGGGAAATAGTAATGCATTTGATTACAATGTATATACTGTATGGGCACCTGGTTTTGTTTCATTGCTACTATATTTGTTGGATTTTGTTTATATGGACTTGTTTGTTGTTTTTGGAGAAATGTTGCCACCCATGTGTTTTTACTCTGAAGATGGTGATGGAGACACACACACACGGTATGAAGCTGCAGTACATTACAGTGCTTCTTTCTGGGCATCACTCGTCTTTTGCTGTTGCACAATCACTCTTTACACCTCTTAAGGAAGACAAAAAATATATAAAAACGAGCACAGAGAATGTAAACACAACTAAGAAAAAGGGAATGTTATCTTTTTAAAGGGTGAATTACCAAACTCGCTTGTTTACATGGAATCATTCACATATTATTAAGCACACGCTGCACACACGCTGCAGCTTCAGATCTCCAGAGAATGTAAGCTTGCATGCCTTTTTTGCACCTCCAGCACCACCCGGTGTCTCCAAAACCCAACCGATCGCCCTGTAATTCGATTGTAGCACGTTATTGATTGTAGCATCCACAGTTTCTACACTTAATCTCACCCCCCCCCCGTGTGTCTTTGCCACTCATTGCGTTACGTACTGCAGTTTTATTCGGGTTTTTATCAAAGCAGATCCTCAGGTGTAAGTCCTACACACTCATCGCGCTCAAATCCACGAATGTGTCGTGCTCGTGAAGGACTCGTAGCACACGTGACACGATGTCATTCCGTTCCTGCATTATTAATATTATTATTGAGTCCACCAGCCGATGAAGTGTTAACAGCCGGCTTTAAGAGTTACTGGTTTACTGCTTCCATGTCTCACAGGTATCTCTATCTAGTGTTCTGTATATTTTGAAGACAAAAAAAATCAGCATGATTGAAAAAAAAAAAAAAATCTATGCAAGTGTTGCATGAAATCTGATTGTTTCTTTTTACAGTTAAGTATTTCAGTAATGCATTGATTCTGATTCTCCTCGTTGTCTTGTAGTGATAGTCTTGTATTTGGGGCTACTCACTCCTCACACCACTAACAACACTATGACTAAAAAATAATAATCAGAACGCATCACTTTATTTATCCACAGACATTATTTGGGTGGACACTGGTTGACGCACTTTTAAAAGTCACTCACTTAAAAAATTGTCCCAGATCAGGCCCAGGATTTATTTTTGATGATTAAAAATGAATGAGTGAATTATTATTAAAGCCCTGCATGCTTTAGTTCACCAATTAGCTATTTTCATTATATTTTGGCAGAGTATGTTTTTCAAAGCGGACCAATTTAGCGACTGATAAAAGCAGTTGAAGTTTTTCAATTTATGAAGCACAATTTTTACAAGGGTTATCATTTAGTTTCCTCTGTCTTATTCTGTATGCAATACTAAGCTAACATTGAACAACTTTAAACGCCTTAGACCATCTGGACTTCCTCTTTCTGTGTGAGTAGATTTAAAGAAAAAAATTGCACTACTTTTTTTTGGGATGGTTGCTTTGTGATGCAATAACTGCACTAAATATAACCGTGTATCCACCAGACTACCACAGCGTGCTAGCGTGACCCAACACGCCTCTTCCCTCTATTTATCAAAAGAGACAGCAAATGTGTAAAAAGTGAGACATTTCCTGCCTGATGCTGTATAGAATGCTTTCTATTTGAAAATAGATTTACAATGCTAAGTAAAAATATGACTAAAAAGAAAATAAAAACATGACATTTTATGTACTTTTAATTGTTTGGGTCCTTTTTTTGTTTCACTATAATACACTCGGTTGTAAATCCACTTCTGAGCAGTGCCGAGAACCTTTGTACAGACTTTTGTATTACATAAACTAACTTGAGGTGGACATTTGTGGTTCTTAGTTAACAGCATTGGACAGATTCACACAATTTGGTGAACATATGAAGCTCAGCGTAAGTTCTTTCAGGAATACTGGTATACATTCACTCCGCAGCTGCATATAATCAGCTCATCACGGGCTTTCCGCTAACCTATTACATTCACCTCAATCTCAGCAGCCAATCATCGTGCTGCAGCCAAACTTTAAAATGGTTCTCCTCTCTCCTGCAGTCAGCTGTGATTTCAGGTGTTCATGCTGCCGACCACCTCCTCCCCATCCACCTCCTTACATCACATCCAGTGACAGGAGAGCTAATCCAAAGACCTCATCACATCTCCTCATCAAATCCAGATCTTCAGCATCATCACCAGTGTCTAGACCCCGGGGGGGGTTCCCTATATGCTCACGGCTGCATTTCCCCCTTTAGATATACAATTTCAGGATCGGGGTCTAATCGCCAAAGACTTAACATTGTCATTTATCATATGGCATGTGTCAATAAATGTTCTTTAAACAAAATGAAGTCTCCTGATTGAAATACTTATGTTCCCTTTAGGATAATCACAATAACTTCAGTGGTCCTGACTTTTCATGTGTCGGCACATCGTATACATATGTGGCCACAAGCAATGTTTACCAACTGCTGAAATCCTGGTTTCTAAAATTTGGAACAGAAGTCTTAGTCCTACTATTCATTAAGTTTGATCCACACTAAAAGTCTGTTGATCTACTTTTGAAGTCCGATTTTGTAATTGGTTTGTGGACGGGCCATTTTATTATCAAAACTCCATATTACTCCTGAGCCTCTTACTTCGAGCGCTTGAAGTTTGCGCAAGATTTAAAAACTTGTCGAAAGATGTTTTTCTCATATATTTTTTAGAACAGATGTCACTCAAATGCGCTGTATTCACTTCATACCATTGTTTATATGAAAAATGATGAATTACAGTTTAGTCAGAGGATGCTTGAAGTAAAAGAAAATGGCTGTCACTTCTGGCATTAGTCTCTTTAACAAAACAAGGTTTAACAGCACTTGGCCTCACATCCTGGATGGTATTTATCACGTTCGATAAGCAAGGAGAAGCATTTATACAGTGCAGATCGGTTACACCATCACTTCTTGCTTGTAGAAGCAAAACAAAACAACTACCAAGGAGTCCACATTTACACACCTTTGAATGAGCAGTCTTTAAATCCTAAAAGCAGTGTGGTAGAAAAGACAAAAACAGACCGAAAACAAGGGAGGTAAAGGAAAAATAAATGGGCGTAAATTAACTAGAGACCAAGTCCTGAATGCAAAACAGAGAAATGATGTCCAGATGCAACACGATAAAACAGTTTGAGACCCTGATGTGTGTTCAGCTTATTAAGTCCAACGATAACAGCGTGATGGATCAGGCGAAGATGGTCTCCTCTCGCCTCTTCTTGGTCAGGATGGTTCCAGGTTTGTGCTGCGCGTCGGGATGGTTGGTCAGCTCCGGGGGGCAGGTGGAGACCGGGCTCTCCATGAAGGCCTGCTTCAGGTCGTAGAACACGGCACAGTCCTCTTTGGTGAGGAACGTCAACGCCATACCGCTCTTACCCGCACGACCAGTACGACCGATACGATGGATGTAATCTGCAGGAGGAGGAGGAGGGCTTAGTTAACACTTCTTATTCTTTATGTGCATCCTATGTTATGAGCCCCGAGCAACAGTCTTGACATCACAAAATAAATATCTAATGTCGATAATCTGGATCAGTGAAAAAAACTAGTGAAAAAAAAGAAATTAACACTTTGACTTTATTACAAAATGGATACTGTATAATATGAAATATATATAAATGTGTTGAATATAAAGCCTTTAGCTATAGTTATAATACTGACTGTTCAATATCTACTAAAATCACAGGAATGGTTTAAGTTGCACTTTGATGTTCGACTAAAACCTTTCAGATAATGTTCAAATTCCTAAAGTTAGTAACAAACGCTTATTATAACAAACTTATTTGAGGAAAAATGCATTACCCGATAAATATTAGACTAACCCAGACCAATAAATCCACTAATAACATTTTAAAGAACATGATTGATGTGTAAACATTGAGAAAAATGATACACCCAATAAAGAAATATATACTGAGGGGGAGCATCCTACCCTCGATGTTCTTGGCCATGTCGTAGTTGAGCACCATGGAGACGTCATGGATGTCGATACCTCGACCCGCCACGTCTGTGGCCACCAGGATGTCTTTGGCTCCGGCTTTGAGGTTGGAGAGAGCAAACTCTCGCTGCTCCTGGCCTTTGCCGCCGTGCAGCGTGCAAGCATTGTACTGCGAGAAGAAGAAGAAATTTCATTTTATATTTCCAGTTTTTAAGGAGAAAATCCAGTTTACCGTCAGGCGTCTAACACAAATGTCCAGTGGGTTCAGTTCGTACTTTTACTAAATGTTTTGGAACCATTTGTACTACATACAAATTCGGACGCTGAAATGCTCACAATGACAATTAATGCTAACGGTGTTGTTGGGTAGGGTTAGCAACATTAGCTTATTAGCAGTAAACACAGCACGCATGCTTGTACCAGATGTCATGCCAAGTCAAATAAATATCATAATAAAAAAAGTATATCTAAGAGTTTGATGTTGGAATAATGAATTGATTTTTAGTTTCTCTAATATCTATTTAAAGGAATCGTTTAATTTCTCAAACAATGTGGGAATGTTGCAATCCCATTCTAATAACAAAAGATAACTAAGAATGTTTTTCAGAATTTTAAAGAGTCCAGTGACTTTCTCAAGTGACTGTTATTTTGTATATATTGATTGCTGTGCTTTTATTTATGTCTTAATGTGTGCATATGTATAAATGTGTCTGTTGATTGTGTATATAAAGGATATACATATTTATATACACATTTGTATTTTTGTAATCGGGATTGTGGGAAATGGCATTTCAATCTCTCCGTCTGTACACACAAACTGAAAGATTGACAATAAAGTTGACTTTGACTTACCCCCATCTTCTCCAGAGACTTGGCCAGCACGTCGACACCCTTCTTCTGGTTGACGAAGATGATGATGGGAGGCTCGAAGCCGCGCGCCAACACCTCCAGCAGCTTCTTCCTGCACAACAAAAAAAACAAAAACCCCTCAGTAAGAGACTTCAACAGAGAAATAAACAATATGTATGATGTTCACGTGTTTGTGTGCGCTTACCTCTTCTCTCCCTCGCCCATGAGCATCACCTTCTGCTCCACTCTCTCGTGAGGTTTGCCAGCAGAGCCGATGTAAACCACGGCCGGACGCCTCAGGTAGCTTCGGGCCAGCCTCTCCACCGCTGGAGGCATGGTGGCCGTGAACATGACCGTCTGTAAGGGGGGACACAAACACAACTTAAATACACAAAGAGAGCACCCAGCACTTACAAAACTAATCTCCAGATTCATTATGGCATCTATAAAAAGGGACTTTGCTTTTATAATCTTGAACTGGGAAATTAAAGGCAGTCTTTCTTCTCTGAGATCACAAAGAAAACAATAATGCATGTGCCTTTTCTCCTGTCCAGACTAACAACCCTCCAGAGTGTGTAGCCTTCTGTCATCCATCACCTGCAGTTCATTCATTATGAAGTAATCAGTGCCTCTGTATCGAGCATAAATCAAAAACTGTATCTTGCACCATGTCTGAATGCTTTTATTCGTTTTTTTTTAAAAAGCACTTTGAATTGCCTCGTCGTTTAAATGTGCTATATAAAGTTACCTTACACAATAGTTAAGATTGTAAATGATGTTTGAGGGATGAACATACTTGTCTGTATTTATGTTTTCCAGATTCAAAGTTCTTTAACATTTTCTCTGGGTCTTCTGCCTCGTCGGTGTCTGGTTTCTGATTGGTCACCGGGATGTACTCCAGGATCTTCTGGACGTCGGGCTCGAAGCCCATGTCAATCATACGATCGGCCTCATCCAGGACGACGTACGTGCAGCGGCCGAGCACCAGGTACCGGTTCTCCAGAACGTCGATCAGACGGCCGGGGGTGGCGATCACAATCTGTCAGAGAAGGAAACACAGGCGGGGGGGGGGGGGGGGGGGGATGAGTGTGTGTTGTGTATGAAGCACATTACCGAGCAGATTTAAGTGCACGGTGGGCTTCCTGTCACGACAAAGCTTTATTATAAAACAGTCTGTGTGTTTACAGTTATCAAAATGATGTGTATAAGGTCTGGTAAACCTTATGTACTGCTTTGAATCACTATTATTATTGCATTTTCTATTCATTTGTGTCATCTTGGGGTGTAAATACAGATTATTCTCAACTTTTTATGCAGCTGCAGATATCTTTTTGAATGTATTGATAACTGTTAAGTCTATAAGAGAGATAGTCAGATACCATGCCTTACTACATTGACTTAGTAATGACATCACTCATTAAGCCCTGTTTGTTCTGATTATCAGGCCAGATCTGAAGCTAAAGGGGGTGCATTTTCATACTGTTTCTAGTCAGATTCATAGACGTATATCCAGGACACAAAAAAGAGAAAATAGATATCCCAGAAGAGTATAAATCTTGCTGAAACCATGTATATGTGTATGATATTAGGGGTTTAGTGTTAGAGAATGAAAATCCTTTTACTAATACTAATCAAGACTGTAATGATTCACAGAGAGTAATGGAGCAGACTTTAGGTGTCTACTGGATCCTAACTTTAGACACTTTGACTTTATTACAACCTGGAAAACTGTTGAGCTGAACATCTAAGTCAAATTAAAAGATAACTAAATTAATAAATACATCTGGAACTGAACATCAAACTAACTGTATAATAATATATATAAATATGTTGAATATTTGCACTTAGTGGCTGGTTTATTTATGTCTGTATAGGCCGTTGTGAGTGTGGACGGTCGGAGCATATACAACGTTAGCTTAGCCATTTAGAAAACAAGCATTTTAAAAAGGTGTTTCACCTGCCGTCTGTCTGCAGACTTGTCAAAGCATTAATTCATGGTTTTACTAACCGGTATCAGTATGTCGTTACTTCGGCATCATTTTGAAACGTGTATTACACAATTAAATCACGGTCAAATATGTTAATTTTGTTGTAGTTGCCAGCGATTCTCTCACTAGTTTAGCATACTCAGCCCGGTTGTTGGCCCGGAAAGAACCTCGATTTTGGAGAGCCAGAAAACTGTGAAAAAGTACCCGCTAGGCGGAACTACGCCTTGTGGAAACGCAACCAAAAACGGCACGCTTAAACCGTGCTGTAGTGGAAATGCGCCATAAATGTCCCCGTGTCTTACCTCGCAGCCCATCCTGAGACGGAAGCCCTGGTCCTCCCTGGAGATTCCTCCGATCACAGCCACTGTGCGGATGCCGAGGGGTTTACCGAACTTTATGGTCTCCTCTTCGATCTGCTGCGCCAGCTCACGAGTCGGAGCCAGGATCACAGCATAAGGACCCTGATCTGAGTCTTCAATCCTGCACAGAGAACAGGAGTGTAACAGACATCAGTAAACAGACACATGCAGGTATGAGTGGGTGTACATGAGATGATTTGAGAATCTGCTTTGTTACCTGTCGATCTTTGGCAGGGTAGTGATCCAGACGAGCAGAGGAATGAGGAAAGCAGCCGTTTTACCGCTACCGGTCTCAGCCACACCGATGATGTCACGGTTCTGTAAGCCAATAGGAATGGCCTGCCTCTGGATAGGTGTCGGATCCTGGATTTTAAGAGAGGAGAGTCATTTTTAGATCAACTTGAATCAGTCAAGAACAGTGGATATATCAGTTTGTATGTCTGTTTAAAGAAAATACAAAAAGGACCAAAACATGTATTTTAACTAATGAGCATTTTACTTCATCTTGTGCTCATTTACAACTCAAATAAGAGCCTTATTTGCTTTTCAGACTAATAATCCTTTTATCAAGTTTTTTCTAAAAGCTCACACATTTAAAAAAAATGCCACAAGGGCTTGACAATCTGTACAGCAAACAAGACTCTTTGTTGTTTGACATAATAAAGAATAACCTATTCATAAGAACGTTGACATGGAGTCTCATTGCACCGACCTTGTAGCCACAGGCGTCGATGACCTCGTTGATGTGATCCGGCATGGAGTACTCCTTCCAGTTCCTGATGGGGTTGGGGATCTTTCCTCCCTTGGTGGTGATGCTGTAGTCCTCTCTGAAGATTCTCCAGTCTCTGTCCGTCATCTCCTCCAGCTTCTTCTGACCCCAGTGTCTGTCGTCCCAGCGCTGCTTCGCCTCCTTCTTACGCATCTTCTTCAGTCTCACCCTGAGAGGAGGAGAGAGTAAAGATCGCATCAGTAAAGATCAATTATTACGTTCTACATTCCTTGCTTTTATCCTCATGACACAAATGTAGTCATCTCACATATCCGCGTGGACTGTTAATATGATAAATCTATATTTTTTACAACACTATTAGATTTGTGTCTAATGTGCGTCTTACAGTCATTTTCATACTTTGGAAGAAAATCAATTATCACAATATTCTGGACCAGAATCATCAGTAATGTTGATTCATTGGATAAGAGGGTAAAGGCAGATAATAGAAAAGATACCAAGTCTATCATTTTACTGTAATGTATTCATCTGAACCAAGAACTACACTAACATACACACATTTAAATCCAAGACGATTTGAAGTCTTATATCACGATAGATATATTATAGATATATTGCCCAGCCCTATTTCCGACCATTTTTTATTTAAACCCTATTTAAAAATACTTTCTATCTTCCAGTCTGCTTTATTCATGTACTATAGAGTGCCACAGTGACGCGTCCTAAAACCCGGAAGTAAACTCCTTCCGGTTCCTTCGACAAAAACGCAATGCAATCTCTCCATAGGATTTTGGAAAATAGCTGGAAATAAGGTCTGTGGTTGACACACATTTAAGAGACGGATCACGTTTTGTTCAGCCGGATAATATCCACATGTCTACCCTACTTTTATAATTTTCGAATCATAAATCTAGCCGCCAGAAGCTAAATGCTAACGTTATGCTATAAACTAACTACAACAGGGTCGCTGCTTCAACATCACGCCATACTCAAAACTACAGATTCAAAATTGTACAAGTTGAAGCGTTTGTTTTAACAGTTTGCAGGAGGCAGGTACTTGCTTTCAAGCAGAACAGGGGCAAACAAACTTAGTGGGAGTGTTCACGTGTTCGGCGTAATGACGTACAACGGGCTCGACAACTTCTGTAGTCCTATTCAGCCACTTGTTAACAACCATCGCTTTTCAGACACGTAAACTCTTCAGAAATCACCAGTGGGGTCACCGCTGATGTATTTAATCGAAGGAACTGGAAGTGGAAAATGCTAACTTACTTCCGGGTTTTAGGATGCGTCACTGTGGCACTCTATATGTCATTACACTGATGATACTACATTCAAAACTTCAAGTTGCTCTTGAAAGCAAACCTCAGTGAACTCCTCAAAGCCAGAGTTGATCATGTGGATGTCTTTTTACTCACTCTTCCTGCTCCTTCTCTTCCAGCGTTCGTCTGTTCTCCATCATGTCACCATAGAAATTGGACTGATCTCTTTTCTGCTGCTTCAGGTCGATGCCGGCGATGAAGCCTCGTCCGTACAGCTGCACGCTGTGCTTCTCTTTGTAACTGGGAGACAGAGTGGGAACATCGAGTTGTTCAGACACACACATTCAAAACAAGGCAAAAGATGCGCTTCAATTAAAGAGAGACAGGTTTCAGTGAACACTGTGTTCATGTTTCCTCACATCGGGTTGTAGTCGACTGAGGTGTCTTCAGAAGCGTCCCACTCAAACACAAACTTCCTGTCGTTCAGGTGACGAGTTCTCCGGCGTTTCTTGGTCCCGCCCAGGTAACGCTCCTGTAAGGATCAGATATGTCATGTTTAGGAATCCACAGCAGGTTTTCTTAAATGTTATGTTAAAGGGCCCATGTCATGCTTTTCTGGTTATTACCCGTCCCCTTGTGTGTTATGAAGGTTTTTCTGCATGTAAACGGTCTGCAGAGTCACAAACCCTCAAAGTGCACCCTGTAGCGAGTAAAACTCTAACACAGAAAAGACCTGTCTATGCTGCCCCAGAACGCCTCGTTGGAGATTTCTCTTTTTCCATTGTTTACTTCTTGGGTATAGTGAAGTATTTCGGGTATAGTGACGTTACGTCCGCGGAGCCGTTACGTTTGGACCAATCCGCTGACTTCCTCACACACACACACACTCGGCGGGACGTTGTGAGGCTCGCTGCTGCGAGGAGCGGGACACTGTGAGCTGGCTCACTGGTGTGGGGTCAGCGAGACAGCGAGACACCGCGGAACTCAGCCTGAGCACACACACAAACTCCCAGCCAGGCTGCGGGTGTGTGTGTGTGTGTGTGTGTGTGTGAGATCGGGCTGGGTTTCGCTGTGTCTCGCTGTCTCGCAGACGGCCACTGGGCTCACAGGGAGGGGGGGGCAGGAGCTCCAACAAGCCGTTTAGGACAGAGAGTGAATACACATACTATACAGAGATGCTGTATGAGACACCAATGTGAGTTTGGAAAATTGCACAATATACATTTATTTTAGTATACCTCAACAATGGAATTATGATCAGTAGAAATAGCCATGACATGAGACCTTTAAAGTTTGTGATGATGGAATACAAAAGTGAACTACAAATGACATAAAAACATAATTACTCTAAAAAGAAAAGTCAAAATAGACTATTTATATCTCTGTTTTTAACCTTGCCGCCATTTCATTACATAAATCTGATTGGATTCCGTTTTTGTGCCACGTTCTTAGCTTTCTTTTCCGGACCCAAAAAGTTTCCATCTATCAGATTAGTGAAAACTATTTTGCCTTCCCTTCTTTTTCACAGATGTCAAATTTCCAACAATAAATATGTAGCGAGGTTTCTATTTTCCAGGGAAACAAACTCACAGATCCACTTTGAAACACATAAATTACAGGAGGACCAATGATATGGGTTAGGGTTAGAAGACAATAATCTCTGGAAGGGATTCAAAATCACTGACCAGTACAGGTGATGTTTAAACAAAACCCCGCACCGCTAGAGACATAAATCCAGTCATCATGGGGTTTAAGATTCAGGCTAATGCAAATCTATATAAGGTTTACGTTTGCTACCAACAGCCACCATTTGATCTGCTCTGTGCAGTTTCTCCTGAGACTGACCTTGATGGCGTGGAGTTCTTTGCTTTTATCTTTCTCCTCTCTGAGCTTTTGTCGTCCATCATCGTTTTCATTCCCGTTGTTATCTCGGTCCATTCGTTCTCTTCGCTCTCGCCTCTCTCTTTCCTGGGGATCCTCTGTTAACCCACACTATCAGTTACTATCAATATGCTTACACAAACATAATGCAGACAACCGAATGAACCAGTGGCTGATAATACACACCCATCATTTTTCTCCCCATGTCCTGGAACATCCTTCTCTTCTTCCTCTCCTCTTCCGTCACCTTCTTCCTTTCCTCGGTTTGTTGCTCCCTCCTCTTCAGAGCCTCGGCTTCTCGCTCTGCTTTCGAGAGGAATTTGGGCTGAAAAGGGCAAAAACAATCAAATATGAAGCGAGGAAAATATAATCCTAAAGATTTAAAAATAAGACAAATGTGAACTCAAGAGACTTCCCACCTTTGCCTCCGCTTCCTCTTCTGCCTTCTTCTTGGCGAGAAGCTCTTCCAAAGATAAAGGTTGGACCTGAAGAGAGGCGAGATGGGTCAAACATTTGAAATAACAACTTCAGAATATAACAACCACAGTTATGCCCTTGCTGCTAAATACTAGGGCTGAACGATTAATCGATTTTAAATTATGCAAAATAAATGTTCAACAAGTCTTCTTGTGTGTCAGTCATCCACACCAATCAGAAGTGCTGTGCTCCACATGTACCAGTCATTGTTAACCAATCAGAAGTGGCCCATGATAGAAGGTGATAGACAGATTGATCCAATCACCTGCCAAGTATTTTTGAAATACTTTTCCAAATGGCTTCCAATGGAGCTTTCCTAGATGGTTTGGTGAAACAAACCATCTGAGTCAGGTTAGTAATGCTCCATCACATGTTTCACATCTATTACAGGGTGAATCTGAAACTGAAGCTTGACTTTAAAGCAACCCAACGGAAGTTTCATGTAAGTTTAGTTCTTTCACTCGTAGCTCGGGCTGCGGGGGTGCTAGAGACGGGAGCATGTTGATACGACCTTCCTAGCCGGAGATATGACCGCATTTTACAATAAACTTCCGTTGGGTCGCTTAAAAAAAAACATATCGCAAATCGAATCGCAATATCTGTCAGAAAAATCGCAATTAGATTATTTCCCCAAATCGTGCAGCCCGACTAAATACCAACAAACAATGTGCAATATGTGCAATATATAAATGCCGTTAATAACTGTAATATATACCTGGCTGCTAAATCCTTAGAACTGTTACAAGGTGTGTATTTTGTAAATTGTGTAACTTGCTGCTGTTAAATACCAACCCCCTATGTGCAATATGTGCTAGATGTGCAATATTACATTACATGACATGTCACTTGTTAGATGCTTTTATCCAAAGCGACTTACATACTCAATACTGTGGACAATCCCCACAGGAGCAATTTGGGTGAAGTGTCTTGCCCAGGGACACAACGACATGCTGACTGCAGTGGGGTTTGAACCTGTGACCCCCTGGTCCGAACACCGACGCACAACCCACTGCGCCACACACCGCCAATATATATAGATGCCGTTAATAACTGTAATATATACCTGGCTGCTAAATCCTAAGTACTGTTACAGGATGTGTATTTCTTTAAATTAGGTAACTTTTTATTTTGTATTTTGTCATAACTTAGTACTTTTTTTTAAATGCATGTCACATATTTAACATATGTAACATTAAGCTGTCTGTGGCTCTTTTTCCTGCTGTAACTACGTACATGTCCCCTCCGTGGGACTAATAAAGGTAATTCTGATTCTGATGATAGACTCAGTAAAACCCATTTTACCTTTTCCTTCTTCTTTTTTCCATCTTCCTCCTCTTCTGTTTTTATTTGCTTGTCTCTCTTTGATTTGGCTTCCTTGGACTTGGGTGAGAGACTTCTACGAAGGAGCATGAATTTAAAACAGATGTTAATAAATAGTTATGAGGAAAACATCTATTTGGTCTTTGCGCAATGAAAGTAAATCGACATGTGTGATGCATTTCTATTTCACTAAGTGTATTTCAGCATTTACATACCTGGACCTCCGGCCGCGATCTTTATCACGTCGATGGACGTCTCTTTCCTTGCGACCCCTTTCTCTGCCCAAATCCCTGCCCAAATCTCTGCCCAAATCTCTGCCCAAATCTCTGTCCTTATCTTTGTCACGCTCCTTCTCTCTGTCTTTCATTCGTCGTTCTCTGTCATTAAAAACAAAAATAATGTTCAGTATGATTTCATCATCATTCAAAATAGGGCTTGGTTATGCAAAAACGAAATGAAACAAAACTAGGACAAATGCTATAATGCAGTTTTTAAACATTACTCATTTAGTCTAGCATTAAAGACAGATATGTGCTGCATTTGAGTTACCTCTCTGCAGATTTAGAGCGATTCCTTTCTCGAGGAACATTGCGTTTACGTTCTCGTGAACGGCTGCGTTTCCTCTCCCTGTCTTTGGACACTGAGGAGTCAGCCTCCTTCTTCTCCTCCTTCTTCTCCTCCTTCTTCTCCTCCTTTTTCTCCTCCTTTTTCTCCTCCTTTTTCTCCTCCTTCTTCTCCTCCTTCTTCTCTGGGTCGGCCGCCATCTGTAAGGAGCATGTTGTTAGTGACAAATGTGCAGTCATTTCACATTCACTTAGTTACGTTTTTTGATAAGAAAAGGTGCTCTATTACATTTCAGGACATACATTAATGAACAGCCTACAGTCAAGCTGCTATGGCACTTGCAATTTACTTTTACAGTTTTTCTTCACAGGGTCAGTAAATCTTATTTTTCCGAGAAGACACTGGATACTGTTTTTCCCCTCAAATGTTCAATGTTTCCGGGGTCAGTTGTTTTGGAAACACTCAACAACTTATAACTCCCTTAAAAGTATGTCTCCAAATGTTCAGTTACTACAAATGAAGTTGCAAACATTTTTTTACATTTTGAGTTTATACCCACATCAATCAGTACATATATTGTCGCTTTGTTTATTTAACAAGCTGTTTATATTACAATTGTTTGTTTTATGATGAGTAATTGGTGCTTGTTCATTTCTCGAGTAAGGAATCAACAAAGGATTTATCTCAACATTGATAAGAGTGTAAAAAACGGAAAGCATCAATGTTAAACAACAAATCACATGTAAGCCTGAGTGAAGCATAGTACTAACTTTGGCAACATGACTATTAAAACAAAGCGTTTCCTTCTTCTAAACAAGACGAAACGAACCCTAAGTCAAGACCAAGGGAACATAGGGATGATGACCGCTTTATTATTTAGCATTCATTTATACGTTTCTGCAGCGAGTGTCTGAAGGTAACATGCATTTTAAGTCTGACGATAAAAGTTTCAGGCCTGATCTAGTTTCACATAAAACTTGAACATCCACAGTAAGAACACTTAACGTGTCATAGGGACTTAAAACACAATCAAGTATGTTAAATGTGAGTTACAAATGAATGCAGATAAAGTGAACAAGCTAGCTCCTTACCCTAGCTAACAACTTAGCAAAGAGGCTAATTTTCTCCACTAAACTGCCAAAAAATTCAACGCTAAAACATCACGCGAGTCAGATGTTTATATTTTATACAACATCACAGTGAAATGTGTGGTTAAAAACATTTAAAACTTACCGTAATCACTTGTCAACAACACACTTGCGATGTATGTACGCTTCAAGAAGACGCCATTTTGGACACGAGCAAACGCTAGCAAGGGATTGTGGGAGTCGTAGTTCTGAGCGCTCCACACAGAAAGCAGCCGCTCGACTGTTTAAACTACACTTCCCAACAAATGGATAGGATTTTCGCAGGTCCCTAATTGTTTGGCACAGCAACACATGTCGTGCCTGAGCGTAAAACATTTTAGATTTATTTCAGGCACAAGGTGGCAACCGTGTTACAAGTTAGCACAATACTGAGGTTTAGATTAGAGTTTGATACTATATGATTAGGTATCATAGGCGTCATTTGACATGTCCCCACCACTTTTTGAAATGGCTAATTTTGTCCCCACCACTTTTTAAAAGTTTAACTTATAAATGTTCAGAAAAATAGTGTGCACAAAGAAATGTAATAAACAACATCACTGGTTTAGTGTCAAGATGTGCAACTTGGACATGTTAGTAAACTTTCAATAGAACATGTAATTTAAAAAGGAATGTAAATTTAAAAAAGTATTCCTCCTTAGTCTCCTTTGTTTGGCCTTTTTGCTTTATTTTCTTGTCAGAGAGTACCAGAATGCGTAGTTTACATGTTAAAAGAAAAAATATATATAATTTAATATACAGCCTGAAATGTTCTATCAGGCTCTGGATTCGAACCGTCAATCAGAGTTTATTTATTTAGCCCAATATCACAAATTGTGCTTTTGTCTCAGGGGGCTTTACAGTTTATACAAAACATGAATACGCCTGCCCTGAAGTTCCCAGTGCTGTAATTTGTTAAAATAATTATTGAAGAGAGAAGAGTCACTGTGTTTCTCCTTCACTGTGTACAACTTGATGCAAAGTTCCAAATAAAAGGGGGACTGGTCAGAGGAAGTGAAATAAAATATGAAAGCAACTGAAAGATATTGTTAAAGACACGTGCACTTTCAGAGCAATTGAAAGTGCATTTGATATAAATGTTGTCGTATCCACAGAATACAAGTCTACCAAGCAAAACAACATTGTGTGAAACACGCACAGACACAGAAATTAATAAATGTAAGTGAAAATATATGTAGATATACATTTAAGATATATAATAATGTGTGTTATGTTTTATTCTCAACTTACATGTTTGTATTTATACATTCATTTATTTATTTCAATATTTATTTATTTTTTCTTGTGTTTATTTATTCCTGTATTTATTCCTATATTTATGCATTCATGTATTTCTTACTACTGTCATGTTCTGTCCTCCATACCTGTTTGCTCGTTGTGTGCGTAAAGGTACAAATTCCCTGGGTGTTCAATGTTCTATAAACACATTGGTGCCTAGAGTTCTATGCATTGGTTTTTAATGCAGGTACTCCACGTTCAACACCCAGGGGAGGGACATCTTTTGTCTTCTGCTATGCTGATGTTAAATCTGCAAAATTGTCCCCACCATTTTTCTAACAAAGTAACGCCCATGGGTGCACATGTTTCTGCAGAAAGATAAAAAACATTTTGAAGATGCTGCTATGCCTGACTGCAGTCCAGATTGGCCCGATGCTGATTTATATTCTGGACCAGACGTTTTCATCCACAGGGAGATCAAGAGAGATTTATGAAGCCCTTCTGAAGGTGAAACAGTTTCAGTAGAACAGATCAAAGTTGATGGTATGAAAGATACAAATAAAACACAAAGGGAGAAGACACAAGGGGAAGGAAACAATAGACTGGTTAGACTGTAAAATTCAGATTTGTAGTTTGTATGCTGAGCCGTGGTTCTTTCCTGTTTTCCCTGATTAACACGTTTGGATAAAAGAGTGAGGATGAAGGCTGCACATAAAATGAATAATGGATTCCCTCTGCCTCATACAATAAATACTAATGTGCAAAGAGCTATTGTGTTCCTCAATGCAAGCAATATATTTTAGGGAAATTCCTCATCAAAGGTGTAACTAATGATCACTTAAACAATAGTTATTTTGTATTTAGTCATCAAAGTAAGCCTTTCAGTGAACAAGCATAACATGCAGAATACCATGGCCCTGAAACTCGAATACCTAAATGTCATGCAGGCAGCCATGATTAAAGTTATTTGTTACACATGTGCACCCACACTATCAGTTACTATCAATATGCTTACACAAACATAATGCAGACAACCGAATGAACCAGTGGCTGATAATACACACCCATAATTTTTCTCCCCATGTCCTGGAACATCCTTCTCTTCTTCCTCTCCTCTTCCGTCACCTTCTTCCTTTCCTCGGTTTGCTATTTCAAGTTACAATATCAGTCATAAAAAGAGTGTATAAAAACTCCATCTGGAGGGAACTTTGGGATTGGATCCTTTGCATGCATAAAAAATCTATATAACACACTACAGGAAACAGAAAACTCCATAAGCATAATAGCGCCCCTTTACAGTAAGTCACCTGATAAGTAGATGGGTGAGCTCTGCAGACAACATGTGTTCAGGTGCAGATTGGGAGCTATGGAGAGATTTTTCTAAACAGAATCAGATGTAGATGATAGGATGAAACATGACACTTTTTCACTGACTAATCATGTTTATTTATTTTAAAGAGAAATTGCACTCCAAAATATCATTGTATTATTCAACGCCCATGACTTTTGGCAGACATAAGTCAGTTATACATGCACAAATACTGTCTTGAAAAAATGTGCTTCACCGTTGCCATGACTACTCTACGTTTGCCATGAGGAGCTTGTCTTATACAATATGTCTACTGTTGCCCCTAGCTATAGCTATGCATAGAGGGATAACTATTGAATCTAACCAGTATACTTATTAGCATAACTCATCATCTCATCATTTGACCAACTCATGCAGGCTTATTCGATTGAAGATTTTTCAGCACAGAAGTCCATTTAACTGCTTTGTTATTCATCTTCAAATTAATTATGCATGTTTAATGTTCTTGAGAAGACATTTAATGGTTTAAATATCCTATAATAGTAACAATAACTTTATGTATTGAGCCTTTTTATACAATCGATGTAGCTGAACGAGCTCTACAAAAATACAGTTTAAAATAGAAAATGAAATGAGATAATAAAAAGACAGCAGATTATAAAGTGTAATTTAAGTGAAAGTAAAAACAACAATTTACAAGGGAAGAAATTAAAGATGCAATGCAAACTTTTGAATGCAGTTTCACCATCAACATGCCTTTACATTGTATGACTCTACATGTTTTGTATCACAGTCAGTTAACGATTCTTGGTTCAGGAAGCTGCTGCGTTGTGTAATGATAGTGATTACCTAATTCTGATCACTAACAGCTGACTATTGATAACAGTTCAAGTAAGTCTTTATAGATCAATAATGGAGGACTGACACATCCTCTTGTTTAAGGTCGAATATTGTACCAAAATGTTTTCAATTTTAAGATAAAACAAGGAAACGTCTGTGCTGAACAGCAAATATTTAATAGCTTTCAACACTATAAACACACTTCCTCAGGGGTCTTATGATTGGATGGCACACATATGACTGTGTTTAGCTGTTATCCAGATGTGCACATCACATCTCCAACTATAACCCTCTTCCTCCAACTCCTACAGTCGACCCCCATCCCAAGCACCTCATGTGCCCATGCTTTTTCCTCCCTTCCCCCCGATTTCCCCCAATGCCAGGCGGGGTTGCCTAATTAAACCGCTTGCAGAGCGCTTACTTCTGACATGCCCTCAGGGTGTGCCACACGGGGCACGTCGGCATGGAGAGGGGGGGTAGATCTGGTGAAGGTGAACATGTGTGGGTAAATAAGTGTGTCTGGGGTGTGTCATAATATGGCGGTAAGGGGGGAGGGAGGAGAGTAGATGTACCAAGGGAGTCTATTTACCTTAAGCAGGGACAGAAGGGGTCTTATCATTCCTGCAGTGTGTGTTGAACCTGGCTCACCTTGCTGCACTTGGGGAACGGGAAAATATGCAGAGCAGACAAGATAAACTGCTTAGTATACACAGCAGCACACACTGACACACATTCATACACCAATACACATGTTCATGGTCACGCATGGATGCCCTTAGCTGCAAATACAGTACTCACAGACACACACATGAACAGATAATAAGACTGCATTCGTACAATTGCGAGAGAAAAACCTGGTTGTGTGTACAGCAGTGATAAATAGATTTAATAAAAAAAAAAAAACATGAACCCCTATACTTATTTAATTTTGTATTTGATTTTCAGGACATTATGCACAGTATGCAAATGTTAATACAGCTTAACATGGTTAATATTAATGTAAGTCGGTCCTCGGGGCTCAGGGCTACAGAAAGGCTGTGGCGTCTGCTGTCTGCTGATGTCTGTGAGCCTCAGTGAGTTGCCCAGAGCTCACATACTGCTGCCTGAACCAACCCCATCATAACAGCTTTGATATGAGCAATCAGACCGAGAGGGACAGATTGATTGAAAGGAACTTCAGTAAGTCCGGGACAATCAGATACATGCAGCTGGGATTTTTGTGGCTGTTCTCGATGCTGTATCTCTTTGTATGAACAAAGAAGACAGATGCAAAATTCAGACACATGCAAAGAAATGGTATGTGAATATTCCAAGACAGCTTTTATTTGCTGAGGACCTCTTGAGGTTTAGTTTGAAATATTGAGAAATATGTTTAAATGTTTTACAAAGAGTAAGCTAAGGAGATCAATACCACTCTTGTATCTAAAGCTTCGGCAGCTGGTTCACTTAGCACACATATTGGAAAAAGGAGGGAAACAGCATGCTTGTCAAAGGGGTAAAAAACACCTCAAAACAGTTGCCCACTTGTAGCCACATGAAGCACAAATATGACAATCTTCTTCAGGGTATCGAGGGACAAAACAGTTACTGAAACAAGGTGATGACACATGTGTGCTCAATCATGAGTTGGACTGCCCTAGATTACTTTGACATATTGTAAGAGGTGCAGATTCACCTGAAAATCAATTTCATCAAAAGCAAAAAGCTAGGCTGCACGGACACTATCTCCATGTAACTATTTAAACGTATAGTTAAACATAGGATAGACACATTGCATTTGATATTGGGTTGTCGTTTGCATCAATGCATCA